GGGCCAGAGTAATACTACATCAGGTAGGGCATTTGCCTTGCACGCGGCCAGCCCAGGTTTGACCCCTGGCTATCCATATGGTCCCCCAAGCACCACCAGGAGTAATTCTTGAGTGAAGAGCCAGGAGTAACCTCTGATCATCACTGGGTGTGACCCAAAAAGCAAAAAATATATAAAATGAAAAATAAAATACATATGGAATACCAAGTATCAAACCCAAGGCAAGCACCCTGCCCACTATACTATCTCTCAGGCTGAATTGTTTTTTTCCCTTAATTTTCTATAGGAATATAAGTGACATGCCAAATAAATCAAAAATTGACAACTGAATAAATAACAAATAACAAATGTTACAGCAATTTTATATATACTCCCTTTTCTCCTTAGTAACTTCAGTTCTGCAGTCAGAATGGTAGGGGTTTTTTTGGTTTTTGGCATTGTTACCTTGCTTTAAGTAACACATAAGTAACCCTATTATTGTCTGTTGCTTCATATAACCATTTCCATTTTCATCAATATTGTCACAAATGCCAAGATTTCATCTTTTTTGACTCTCATTCATTGTTCATGAATGTCGACTGGTCCAGTCTTTTTGGAAAACAATATGGACATTCCTCAAAAAACTAGAAATTGAGCTTCCATATGACCCAGCACTGACCAGTTCTGAGAATATATCCCAGGGATGCATAAAAGCACAGTAGAAATGACATCTGCACTTGTGTGTTCATTGTAGCACTGTTCACAATACCCAGAATCTGGAAACAACCCGAGTGCCTGAGGACAACTGGTTAAAAAAACATGGCACACCTACATAAAGGAATACTATGCAGCTGTTAAAAAGATGAAGTCATGAAATTTGCTTATAAGTGGATAGACATGGAGAGTATCATGCTAAGTGAAATGAGTCAGAAAGAGAAGACCAGACATAGAATGACTGCACTCATTTGTGGAATATAAAATAGCATAATATGAGACTAATATCCAAGGACAGTAGAGACAAGGCCCAGGAGGATCCCTCCACAGTTTGGAAGCCTGCCTCATATGCTAGGGGAAAAGGTAGTTGGGATGGAGAAGGCAACACTCAGTCAAAGATGGTTGGAAGAATCGCTCGGGATGGGAGATGTGTGCTGAAAGGACCTAACATGATGGCCTCTCAGTATCTGTATTGCAAACCATAATGCCAAAAATAGAAAGAAGGGAGGTGCCTGCCACAGAGTCAGGGGGTGGGATGGGGTGGGGGTGGTGGAAGGAATACTAGAGACATTGGTGGTACAAAATGCACACTTGTTGAGGGATGGGTGTTAAAATCATTGCATGACTGAAACTCAATTATGAAAGATTTGTAACTATCTCATAGTGGTTCCATTAAATAAATAAATAATTTTTAAATGTTCTGTCTTAGAGCTGAGAATAATTCCATTGTGCATATATAGCACAACTTCTTTATTCAGTAATCCATCTATCACTGGACATTTGTGTTGCTTTCATATCTTAAATTCTTTTTTCAAAAATTTTGGTTTGGGGACCATACCCAGTGGTGTTCACGGCTTAATCCTGGCTCTGCATTCAGGGATAGTGATCACTTGTGGGCTTGAGGAACAATATAGAGTTCTGGGAATCAAGCCCAGGTTGACAACCCATGCAAGGCAAGCACCTTACCTGTTGTACTTGCTGCAGCTCATTTCCCTATCTTGTCTATTGTAAATAAAGAAACAATGAACCTAGATGTGCATGCCTCTTTTTATTTATTTTTGTATTCTTTGTAGACAATAAAGAGCAGAATTGCTAGAACATAAAACAGATACAAAATTAAAAATAATTTAAAAATTTTTAAATAAATAAATAAAACAGATACATTTTTAAAAGTATTTTGGGAAGTGTCCATACTTTTTTCACATAACATGAATCAGTTTACATTCCCACCAACAGTTTATGAGTGTTCTTTTTTCTCTACACCCTCACAAGCATGTATTGTTTCTTGTAGGTTCCCCCACATTTTTTCTCCCGTTGTTGTCTTTTTAATGCCGCTGAAATATGGGGATTGCATGCACATTGTGGTGCTCACTGGGACCACACATCTGGTTGCCGGGCTTACTCAGCTGAGATTATTGCCAGAGGTTGAAGTCCTTTAATTGTAGTGCTATCTGGACTATTGCTCCAGTCCCACAAACTCCTTTAATTCTGGTACTTGCAAACATTCTGGTTGTAGTGCTCTGAGAATTGCTGCAGTGTACACAAACGTGTTCAATAAGGGTTGCTCTTTCTTGTAACATCTTTTGGTGTACTCAACAGGGATTGCACCCCTTTTAGTTGTGTTGCTTACACAGAAATCTGTTGCAGAACCAAGCATTACAGACAGCAAAGCTGCCAGGATTATGGTAGGTGCATGTGACAACACCTAGAATTAAACTCATGGCCTTCCACTTGCAAGGAAGGTGCTCTATAGTAGGGTTTCTTAAACTTTTACACTACAGACCCTTTGTTATCCAAACAATATAACATATGTTTGTGCCTGCTAAGGGGAAGGTTTGGGAGGTGAGGGGGAAACTGAGGATTTTGGTGAAGGGAAGGTTACAATGATGGTGGGACCTGTGTTGGAATATTGAGTGCTTGAAACAACTGTATTACAAACAATTTGGTAAACAACAGGGTTATAATAAAAAAATAATTTTAAAAGAAGAGTACTGTAGGTGACTCCTGCCAGGAATGCCTTGTATTAATTATTCACTTTGATTCATTTTTGGTTGTTGAACTTTCAGGAAACTTCTACTTTTGCCAAATTTTTCACAAATCCTACGTTCACTTTTGCAATCCCTACGGGGTCAAAAAAAAAGTTTAGGACTGGTTTGATTCCACTAGAAAGATTGCTTCATTGGCCTTTGCACCATACCCAGCTGTTTTCAAAGGCCATTCCTGGGCCACATCTGGCATTGCTTCATAACTTACTTGTGGCTCTGCCTGGAGGTATAACTCTTGGCTGGCCTCGGGGGACCCTGTGGGATACTGGGGATTCAACTTGGATAGGCCATGTACAAGACAAGTGCCAAGCCCACTTTAGTATATAGTAGATACCACTCCAGCCTACATGTAAAATTTAAAGTAGGTTTTTGCTATAAGGAAATATGAAAGGAAAATTTGGCTATTACCTGGAAGTTTAGCTTATAGTACACTATAATTTATGAATAGTTTGTAACACTATTTGAACTCATCTTTCAGCAAAAAAATTGGTGTTCAGAACTTGCTTATGACTACTGTTATGTGGTGCCAGGTATGGAACCCAGGGCTTGACACATGAAAGGCAAATGCTATTCTATTAACCTTCTACATTTCATTTACGTTTGTATTTTGAATTGCCATGAAATATTACTCCTGTCAAGAGGATGTAAGCTTTTAGCAGGTGGAAGGAACAGTGCTATCAAATGGACTTCTAGAATATCTCCTAGCTCCTTGATTTCCTTGGAACACACCCTATAGAATTTTGGCTTTTCATTTTATTTATTTGGAATATTTATGATTGTGTTTGTGGGGGAGGGCACACCCATGCAGTTCTGGTGTCTTACTCTTGGCTCTGCACTTGGATCACTCCTGCATATTTTTTTAAATTTTATTGAATCACCGTGAGATAGTTATAAGCTTTCATGTTTGGGTTACAATCACACAATGATCAAACACCCATCCCTTCACCAGTGCACATTCCCCACCACCAATATCCCCGGTATACCCGTCCTTTCCCACCCTCCCCCTGCCTCCATGGCAGACATGATTCCCTATAATCTCTCTACTTTTGGGCATTATGGTTTGCAATACAGACCCTGAGAGATCCTCTACTTTCTGCACACATCTCCCATCCCGACCGATTCCTCAAGCCATCTTTTTCTTAGTGAACCCTTCTCTATTCCAGCTGCCTTCAGGCTTCCAGCTATGGAGCAATCTCTCTGTCCTGTGTATCTACTATCCTTAGGTGTCACTCCTGCATATTTGGGGTACAAGGTGCCAAGAACTAGCTAGGGTTGGCCACAATGAAGGCAAATGCCCTCCCACTGTACTATCACTCCGTCTATGATGTTATTAAAGAAGTTGTCAAGTGTAGTTTATTTTCAACTTCAGGTTTCCCTTGCTCTCTTGCACTTGTCTTGTACATGGCCTATCCAAGTTGAATCCCCAGTATCCCACAGGGTCCCCCCGAGGCCAGCCAAGAGTTATACCTCCAGGCAGAGCCACAAGTAAGTCATGAAGCAATGCCAGATGTGGCCCAAAACATAAGAAGTTTTATAGGGGACTAAAGTCTCAGTACATTGGGTGGGAGCTTCCTTTTCACAAGGCAGACCCAGATTGAATCCCTGGCAACACATATGGGCCCCAAAGCTCAGCAGGAATGATCATTAACTGCAGAGGCAGGAGTAAGCCCTGAGCACAGCCAGGTTGTTTCCTTCCCAACAAAAAAGGGTTTTTGTAGCATTTGATTTTATTGTATTTTGTTTGTTTGTGGGTCATACCCAGCAGAGCTCAGTGGAAAACATGATGCTGGGGATCAAATTCAGTCCCCCCTGTATATGATGCTTACATAGTTGTCCTTGAAACTATCTCCTTAGCCCTGCATTTTGTTTTATCTTAGGCACTGATGGGGTCAGAGTGATAGTACAGCATGTAAGGTGTTTGTCTTGCATGGGGCAGATCCAGGTTCAATCTAAGCACTCCATATGGTCCCCTGAGCTTCATCAAGAATGACACCTGAACAAAGAGCCAAGAGTAAACCCCGAGCACTGCTGGATGTGGCCTCAAACAAAAGCAGGTTTAATTAGGCACCGAGATTTACAATACTGTTAATGACAAGGTTTCATGCATACAATGTTCAACCACCACATCCTTCACCAGGTGTCCATTTCCCTGCACCACTGTCTCAGTGTGCAACACCCATTCACTCCCACAGCCTTGCATTTTGATATTAACTTTACATAAATGATCAAGTTTGGTTTCATTTACAAGACACAAACCTACAATGAGAGTCTCAAATTACTTTATTGTTTTCAATCACATCGTATATTTAATGGGTACACAGTGCTTTTATTTGGCATAAATTATGACTTGATGTTGAGACAACTCATTATTACACCAGTCGAGATGATTACTGATCTCTCCATTCCTTTGGGGTGACTCTGCCAACTGGAGACAGGTTCCATTCTACTCCAATTTGTGTTGCTGTCTGTAAGAATTAAATGTCATCAGTTATGTTTGTTAAAACCAGTATCCACTCTCTCGGAGGCTGTTTCTAAAAATGACCAAAGTTTGCTAAAGTATAGGATAAAATCACTTTGAAATTCACCTGGGATAGTGTCCTCCAGGTAGGGCAAACCTAATGGCAATCTTAATTCTGTAGAGCAACAGAGTAAAACAGGTATTTCTGAGATTTTTTTTTCCTTTTGGGGCCATATCTGGTGATGCTCTGGGCTGTTCCTGGCTATACACTCAGGAATAACAACTGATGATGCTCAGGGGACAAAATAGGATGCCACAGATCAAACTTCAGTTAGCCTTGTGCAAAACAAGAACCCTCCATTATAGTATCTCTCTGGCCCAGAGACAGTACACAGTTAAAGCACTTGTCTTACACACTGCAGACCCTTGTTTGATTCCTAGCACCACATATGGTTCCCTGAGCACTACTAGGAGTGATCCCTCAGAAGAGCCAGTGTAAGCCCTGCCAGAAGTGGACTTAAAAGGGAAAAAAAAGAATATCCAGAAAACGTGACAACTTTCAACACAAAATGGGATCAGGATTTCTATGCTGCATTAAATGGAGGTAAAATATGAAGAGAACAAATATCTTCAATATTCTACCAGGCAGTTTACAACTTTGTTTTAGTCTTCAGAACTTGCTCTTTGTGCTAGTCTTCAGGCAATAAAATGAATAATTAAAAAAATATATCAAGAGAACAGTTTAACTAAACATAATATTCAGACACACAATAGAGAAAGAGCTGGCTTGTAATCCAATATGCAACTTGTTATTGAAAATATTAAGAACAGATGACAAAAGAATGTGGAATCCTAAATAAGAGATTACTACACTGATAAGGTGATTACATTTGAAAATCTCTAAATTCCATCTACTAAGTGAAAACATTTTGAATACATGGTCAAAGTGGGAATGAAAACAGAAAATTTCAATCAACAGTACTTACATAAGTCCATACAGCAATACAAAAAGCAGCTCCACTAGCTAATACAGCATTACCATACTTATCATGGAAATCAGGAGTTCGTTTCTGGTGGCTCTGCCTTGCCACTGCCTGCTGAATACTTTGAACTAAGGACAAAACAACAAAAACAAAGTTATTATCGGAAGCAGAACATATGTAAATGATACTGCCAAACAGGGACATCAAGGAAGTTAACTATACAGTATTATGCAGTTCAATAAAATGTTAAAACATATTGTAGCTAAAAGCAAAGTAGTGGGTGGAGAGATAGTAAATGGATCAAGAGATAGTAAATGGACATATATATAGGTTTTATATATATATGGCATAAACCTGAGAAATAGTATAGCATATAGGGCATTAGCAGTGCACGTAGCTGACCCAGCTTCAATCCCCAGCACCACTGAGCACTGCTAGATGTGGCCCAAAATTTTTTTTTAAAAAGGGAAAGTACCATACTTGGCATAGTGGATGAACTGACAGATGGGCAGACGTGCCTAAAACAAATATAGCACAGTGACGTAAATAATAGTCTTTACATATTAACATTTCTGGACTGGAGAGAGACGTATTAAATTTGTGGACTGAGTGTCAGATGTGGCACAAAACCAAATTGATATTTGTATAATTTCTAGAATTTAGCTCCTATTAATTACTTTGAATACTTGCAACTTAAATTTCATTTAAAGGTTACTCAATGAGGGGCTGTAGTGATAGTACAGTGGGTAAGATGCTTGCCTTACAAGCAGCTGACCTGGTTTGACCTTTGGCAGACCAGGTTTGATCCTTGGCACCCCATATTGTCTCCTGGAGCACTGCTAGGAGTAATTCCTGATTGCTGAGTCAGGAGTAACCCCTGAGCACCACCGTGCATGGCCCCAAAACCAAACTAATTGATAGCCATTCAAAGATTACTCAAGGAGATGATCACATGCTTTACATTCATGATGCCTTGATTTGATCCCCAATACAAAATGGTCCACTGAGCAGAGTGATCCTAAGCAGAGTAGGGAGTAGCCCAACCAAGTGTGGCCCAACAACCCCTTACCAATTTACCAATGAATACAGCACCACATTAAAATAAATGGTATACACAAAAAGGTGTAAGCTGTACTTAAAAAATGTCCAGTTTAGAGAACATAAGCCACACAAACACAAATTACTAAATACAAGGTTAGCCAAGCATTTTGAATAGAAATTATTTGATTATGTAGATGTGGGGAAGAGGAATTTGAAAAAGGGCCGGAATGGAAAAGCCTAGTATACTGGAAAACCAATAAATTACACGAACTTGATACATAAAAACCAATTACGTGTATATTCTCATGGCTGAATGATGAGGTGTATGAAGGCTAAACTGGAAATGATCTGAAGCTAGCAAAGACTACATTAAAAAAATTGTTTTACTTTTTAAAAACCCTTTTGTTTTACTCATTTTTTCCTAGCAAGAAAAACACTGTAGCACTGTCCTCCCTTTGTTCATCGATTTGCTCCAGCGGGCCCAGTAAAGTCTCCATTTTGAGACTTGGTGTTACTGTGTTTGGCATATTGAATACGTCTTGGGTAGCTTGCCGCTTTGCAGTGATATAAAGTAAAACAATTGCTTTCAAATTGTATCAGAAGAACAAGGAGGGCTTGGGAAGGAGCCAAGAATTGAATATAATGTGCCACAGCGGTAATAAGCTCATGTGCCACAGGATAATAAGCTTAGTGTAGGGAGCTTGACTTGCAAGTGGCTGACCCTGGTTTCATTCCCAGCATCCCATATTGTCACCCAAGCACTGCCAAAAGTAATTCCTGATTTCGGAGGAGTCGGTTTTAAGCCCTGAGCCTCAAGGGATATAGCCCCCAAACAAAAACAAAAACAAACAGAAAAAAGAGTAAACAGCTTTTGAGCTGTTTTGCCTTCCTCTCATAATTAAGCTGCAAGTCCTTACTTCAGGGAGTACCTAAACTGGTAAAGGGATGGGTGTTGGAACATTATGTAACTGAAACTCAATCATGAACAATCTTCTGTCTATCTCACTGTGAATCAATTAAAAAAACACACTGGAGGAAAAGGCAGCTCAGATAGAGAAGGGAACACAAGGTAAAATGTGTTTGGAGAATCCACTTGGGATGGGAGATGCGCCCTGTAAGTAGACTATAGATCAAACACCATGGCCACTCAACATCTCTATTGCAAACCACAACACCCAAAAGGAGAGAGAGAACAAAAGGGAATGCCCTGCCACAGAGCTGGGTTTGGGGGGGATGGTAAAGGGGGGAGAAATGTGGGGTGGGGGGATACTGGGATCATCGATGGTAGAGAATGGGCACTGGTGGAAGGATGGGTACTTGAGCATTGTATGACTGAAACACACACATAAAAGTTTGTAAGTCTGTAACTGTATCAAAGTTAAAAAAATATTGCTTTCTTTAAGTACAAGACACCCACTGAAATGGCAAAGAAATTACTATTACCAAACAATTCTGCAACACCTTGTGACCAAGTGGATTTTTAAACTTCTAGGATAATAAACGATTTAACATCTATTGGCAATCATATGTATTATCTACTAATCCCCTATTGTAGAAAGGGGGAAAATGATGTCTAGAGAGGTTAAAACATGAGCTTAAAGTAGGTATTGGGAAGAAGAAAAACCATTTTGATTATTTTTGTGTTATCAAAGGTGCTTGAGTGTTTAGGAAACAATACCTCCACAGAGACTTTGTAAAGGGAAAATTAAAAAAACCACTAAGAAGTTGGATGGTAACGCCTTAAGGTCACTTTCACTTTAAAACAACTCATTACTCAAGGTCACCTTCAGCACCAACAAAAGATAAAATTGAATTCTTTATCTCCAATCGAATGCATTCCCAATAACGATGTTATTTCACAATTTCCTGTACCTGCCTAACTTTTAGATCAACAAGGAATGTTCACAATAAGGGCCGAGGATAGCTCGGTGGGTTGAGAACATGCTGGAGGCCCGGGCTCCCTCCATTCATGATACGGCATGGTTTACACAAGCATGCGCGCGCGCGCGCACACACACACACACACACACACACCACAATGCTATCACTGCAGCTAATATTCCAGTGATAATCACAAATGGCAAAAGCTGCAGGTCCACCAATAAATTATCTTCTCAAAAGAGCTAGATTTAGATCTTTCTGTTACACTTACAGTAATTGAGGATACTCTTCTATTTGGAGTGAAATATACCCCCAAAACTGAAATTTAACGTAAGGTGCCCATTAGCGTGTCCTCCCGGAAATCCTATGTTACTGAATAAAAACGTAAGGTTAGCAACTAATTCCAGCAGCAGAGTAGGAAAGCAAAACAGAAACATTGGGTGACTAAGAAGCTAAGGACCCCTTACCAATTACTTTTAGCGAGAAAGGGTTCAAAACATTTAGAGTTACAAGGTCAGGGTGCTTGTGGGAGGAAAGGGCGATTAAAAGGACAATTGGGGGGGGGAAACGATAGGAAACTATTCGCTCACAGTTTCTGCTCACCTCGGAGACGACTCAGTACGTTTTTGCCCAGAGGAAACATCGTGAAGCTGAAGACAGGCAAGACAACAGGAACAGTAGTTGCAACCCAGTATCCTTGCAAAGAACCCTGAAAAACAAAATGGCTTCCTGAAGGGCTCCTTAATGAGATTTAAAAAATCTCGCGAGATCTGTAAAACTCCATGGAAATTGTAATCCTCACTAGGATTGACTCTAAAGGCACACTGGGAAATGTAGTTTCATGCTTTATAAGCGTCATGGACCCTCGTACTGAAGTATAAGGGACGGCTTCCCCGCCTCCACACCTTAGAAGCTAATTTTAGATACCTATAGAAGACAGCAAAGCTTTTAGGTTGAGATGTCAAAGGGATAAATTCAGGAGGCCTCAGCTATAGGATAGCGGATAAATCGCTTGTCTTCGACGTGGAAGACCTGGTCATGATTTCCCACCGCCTGTATGGCTATCCCGCGAGCCCCGCCTCACGTGATCCCTGAGCACAGAGACAGCAGAAAGCCCTGAGTATCGCCTGGTGTGGCCCAAAACAAAAAAGTAAACAAAATAAACATCAGAGGGAAAGAATTTTATGTAAAAATCCTAGATAATATGATTTTGCCCCTCGCCAGAGCTACTGTACAATGGGTAGGGCACGTAGCTTGCACATAGCCAACCCATGCTTGTTCCCGGAGCACTGCCAGGAATGATTCCTGAGCACAAAGTCAGAAGTAAACCCTGAGCACCGCCGGGTGTGGCCCCCCCCAGAAAAGCACATATATATCTTTTAAAAATATGATTGTGCCATCACATAACATCAATTCCTTCTATTCCCCTCAAAATTTCCTCACGTTTTTAAAAGCGGTTTTCCTTATATTTTAGCACTGTCCTCCTGTTGTTCATTGATTTGCTCGAGCAGGCACCAGTAACGTCTCCACTGTGGGACTTGTTACTGTTTTTGGCATACCGAATACGCCATGGGGAGCTTGTCAGGCTCTGCCTTGCGGGCAGGATCCTCTCGGTAGTTTGCAGGGCTCTAGGAGAGAGACGGAGGAACCGAACCCGGGTTGGCCGTATGCAAGGCAAACGCCCTACCCACTGTGCTATGGATCCAGCCCTTGCCTTATGTTATTACATACTAATTTAGCTTTTACTTTTGAAATAACTTCAAATTTGGAGAAAATTTACAATAATATAAAGAACTTCATAGCATGTGCATAAACATGTGAAGTAAATCTAACAAATTTTTTACTGTAATATCTTAATAGGTGCACAGTACAATTCTTTCACATTTCCTGTATGTTTGGGTATATTCATAATGTTGGCATGGGAGGTAAGAACTCGAATTCAGAAATTTAGTATTGATACGGCACAACTCATATTAGAATTACACCAGTTTGTCAATGTCTTTATTCATAGTTTAATCTAGTTCCTTGTATTGAATTTGCAACTTTTGCTTTTTTATCACTACAAGTAAACCTTAGTCTCTCAATTTTGCAATTTTACACTGAAGTGAAGAATCCTTAAGTAAATTGTAGAAAATCAAGATTAGGCCTTTGTAAATGACAAAATTGGTGATGGATCTTCTGATACCATGAGTTTGTGTTCTATATTTTTTAAATAGAACAGGCAAGTTATTTTGTAACATTCCCTCAAGTTGCGTGTGATTGATGTTTTGTCATGATTAGATTGAATTTTTTAATTTTATTTTTATTAAAACACTGATTCACATCAAAAACAGTAGGAGAGTCTATTGGCAGGGGTGTGGTGCAAAGGAAACTCATCCACTGCTGATTCAACCCCTGTGGAAATAGTATAAAGAGTTCTCAGTAAACTTAAAATTGAGCTGCCATATGATGCAGCGATTCCACTTTGGGATATATACCCCAGAACAATTAACACACTGTGATTATTGTTAATTCATAAGGACATACACACATCATTATTCATTGTGGCACTTAGTACAATAGCTAAAATATGAAATCAATGTAGGTGTCCAATAACAGATGAATGGGTCATAAATATGTAGTATATATACACAATGAAATATTATGCCTCTCAAGGAATTATGCAACTTGCTACAAACCGGATGGAATAGGAAGATATCATGTTGAATGAAGTGAGCCTGAAGAAGGACAAACAGGATAATCTCATTCACCTGTGGTATATAAAATAACTGAACAAGGGAATGCAACGTAGTAAGGTGGAGATGCCTAGACCACCCTTAATCCCAGAGTAATAGGGAGGAAGACAGAGAAGAAAAGAAATCTATAGTGGGGAGGAAGAAGTCATGAAAAGAAAGTAACTGGGGAGCAGGGGTCAGGAGCCTCAGGTATATTGCTAATGTGGGGGAGTGTTATAGCTATATAGCCAAATGACAGCTGTGAGAACAACACAGAGAACATGAGATGCAAAATGCAATCATTAAACTTTAAAATATGCCTGTCAAGATGACAGTCTTAGGGGATGGGAAGGAACTTGACAAGACTAGTGGAAGTTGACATTGGTGGTACGATTATTGCTAGAACATTGTATATCTAAAACCAGTAACTTTATAAATCACATGTCTTTAAATAAACATTTAAATTTAAATATAAATAAGCAAGATGATTTAAAAATTATTTATAATACAATCTCTCAGGTGTACAATGTTCCAACACGAATCAATACCAATGTGGATCTTCACCTACCAATGTCCCCAGTTTCCCTCCCACCACCCAGCCTGCTCCCTCAGTAGGCACATAATAAATTTACTTCATATTACTTGCTCCACTAGCAACTGATATGTCTTTGAAGGGCATTTTATTAAAAATGCATATATGCTAATACACACTGTTACTGATGATGCCAATATTAATCATTAATCAGAATATGTGAATATCCTGTTCATCAAAATTTTACCCAATACTTTCTGTGTGCTCTGATAATGCTCTCATAAATCAATTATTAGTATGTAAAAATCTATATATTCCTTCTATATTTAATAGTGAGTATTCTATTGCAGAGGAAACTTTGTTCATAATCAAACTGTATTCATTAATTCACTTCTATCTTTTCTGTTTGGTTGCTTGGTTGTTTTGGGGCCACACCCGGCGATACTCAGGGGTTATTACTGGCTCTGCACACAGGAATTTCTCCTCGTGGTGCTTGGAGGATCATATAAAATGGTGGTGATCGAACTTGGGTCGGCTGTGGGCAAGGACAACACCCTACCCACTTTACTATCGTCCAGCCCAATAGATTATATCTTACCGCCATCATGATGTATTTTAATGATCGGTAGTCCTAGGTGTGATCAGTAGGTTCCCCTTAAGCTACCTTATATGCTTTTTTATGTTTCCATCTTTTTTTGAGTACATCTTTATTTTCTGACACAAAAATGTTCAAAGCTCATCTTGTACTTTGTCTACTGTAGCACTGGAAATCAGCCAGTTACACACAAAACAGCAATTTCTTATAGGATGACAATTTTGGGGGGGTTTCGTTTTTTATGTATTTTTTAGGGTGACAATTTGAAATTAATCTAGATTTGGCACTAGCTATGCCAATTGATATTGTAGTGTGAATATAAGCCCAAGAACTTTTTCAACAACTAGAGCTAACAATATATGTTATAAATAATAAATGTATACTTACATCCCCAATTCCAGTGGATACTCCAAAATTTTTCTATTTCCTCTCATGTCATAGTTGCTTTTTTTTTGAGGGGGATGCACATCTGGCGAAACTCAGGGGTTACTCCTGGATTTGCACTCAGGAATTGTTGGGGTCGGGAGTTCCCTAGCCCCGGGAGGCATGGAGAGACCAGACAGACAACGTTCCTGCAGGAATTTAAGCGGGGGTTTTATTCAGACCAGCATGCTGGGGCTCCACAACGTACCCAAGAACGGGCAGAGGCTGGGAGCCCCGAACTCAGAAACAGGTCATCTTTTATACAGTTTGACAACAAAGACCACATATTTTGCCAATATTTTGCCAATACGTGTTTTGCTGGGTTCCTTGCGGTTTTTCTTGGTGTATCTCGACCCAAACATCTTGACCCGGTCACATAGTTTCAGTTTCCAGAATGGTCAAAACACTCTATCTTTAAATAGTTATGTCTAACCCATACCTTACACATCTACTGGATTCAATCCAATTTTGTAACCCCAAGGCTGCTGAACTGTTTACAGAAAGCAATTTTGCAAGTTAATTCAAGCAAGCAAGGATTTTAACTCCTTCCTAGCCTTCCTAGCTCCTTTCAGAATAACTTCTGATGGTGCTCAGGGGGCCATATGGGATGCTTGGGATTGAACTTGGGTTGGCCACATGCAAAGCAAGTGCCTTATCCACAGTACTATCTCTCAGACCCCTCACTTCAGAGTTGTATCATGCTTATTCTACAGTGATAATTCTAGCGGTTAACATCAATATTTTAACATGTTACATTACATGCACTATATTTTCAGAATACCTACAATCATATGACTATGGAAAATATAGTAGAGTTCATGAGTTGCATGTCCTCTCTCAAAGATGAAGAGGTTGTACAGGGGTGAAGGTGCCTGACTTGCACATGGACAATCCCATTTTCTTCTCTTGCACCACATATTCATATTGTCCCATGGACACCTTCAGGAGTGATTCCTGGAATAAGTCCCAAGTAGCACCTGGTGTGGCCCAAAAACCAAAAAGTTGCATGTAGTTACTTTTCCCCTTTAGACTAATGGAATATAATCATAATAATGTATTTCTAAATTATTTCTATTTTCTTTAGTGTGCTTATATTTTTTAATTTGAAAAGCAGTCTATTTTTTGGTTTATATTTCATTTAGTTTTTTTAAATTATTACTAAAATTTTAAATTTTGGGGGGAGAAGGGGGCTACATCTACAGGTGCTCAGGGCTTACTCCTGGTGCTGTTCTCAGGAATCACTCCTGGCAGTGTTCAAGGGTGATTGGGATCAAACTGGATCAGCTGCGTGTAAGGCAGTCACAATTGCTCTGGCCCCTATTTTTTTTTATTTGAATCACTGTAAGATGCACATTTACAAAGTTGTTCATGACTCTGTTTCAGTCATACAATTTTCCAACACCTGTCCCTTCAGCAATTTCCCAACACCCATGTCCCCAGTTTCTCTCCCTCCAATAATCCCCATCCC